CTTCGAGAACAATAAGATGCACAGGATGGGTTAACGAAAAATAAAAGGTGAAGTCTTCAGTGTTCATCTACCCGTTTTGGGAGCGCCCCGAAATGGACTTCTATTCAGAATAATAGTGGCGTATAGAGCGCTTACATGGCCTATACATACCATGAATAGCGGTGTCCAGCCAATGTAAATGACAATGCTTTTCTACTCCCAAACAAATATGTTACCAATTAAGCGATCCTGGAGGGAAGGGAAGCTCGGATGGCTTAAACGAGGGTTAATACTGGAGTCATTTTTAGGACCATGCGCGTTATAGAGTTTCACTTGCCTTTACGCCACTCCTCCCTTTACAAAATGGATTAAGCCGGAGAAATATTACTCATGAGGATGCACATAACCTGGGGGTCTAAACTTTTGTGAACACGGGACTTTAAGCTGTGCATTTCCTTGAACTTACGACTCATAATTAGTCGGAGACCCTTCCCAGACGAACCTGACATCCTGTGGGAAACTAGAATATGGGCTATCCTTGAAAAAGCAGAACAGTATCGGAACCCTTGCAATTTTTTGAAATTTTCGGAATTTTCTCTCATTAGAGAGTAATCTCAGCCCAACTATGAATTTGTTTTGAGGGAATAGTAGCTAGAAACAATTTTTCTCCTTCCCAGGCTTTCTCTCAGCGGAAAACAGTTCTGGTGAATAAAAACGGAAAATTGTACCAACACCTATGTAAACACAACGCGACATTTCTACACTTTTTGCCAGCACATCAAATCATCGGCCGGTACCCAAATGCCAAAATGACTTTAAAACATCTGGAGAACTGTTGTTTGTCGTAAAATACCGTCCTGTTCCCATAGATCTGTCAGATACCAAAAGCGTGCCGCTTCTGTGAACCCTCGTCATACCTACCAATAATAATTGGTATAATTAAAGGTCACAGCAGTACTATTGACGTCTAGATTACCGATAATGTAGATAGGATCCTCACTGCCAGCGGCCTGAGAGATGAATGTAATCAACATAAATCATCTTCTTTGTGCTCGTCTACTGACTGAGAACTACCACCCAACATTTGGTAGTGGCACTCTATACATTAGCCAGTGTGGTCTAGAGGCACTTCTGGTTCAAAAAGTGCCACTAGCCGGGTTATCTAACTGGTACTATCCTACCCGCCGAAATGCTACTCTACAACTCCCAAAGAGTGGAACGATTGGTTGTTCTGAGCGGGAATCAATCTGGGATTCGTGCTGCGGACCATGTGTGTGTGATAGTGCGCCCTTGCCAGTTCACAAC